TTAAAGTTCATGTTTTCATGATCTTTATCATAAGATCATGTTTCGGAGTATATGTAGATACAGTTAGCATATGCAGATGTTCTGTTTGACTGGCAAAAAATTACCCTCCCAGAGAGACGGAGGAACAGATGCAGCCAAGGCAAGAATTAGGTCTCTTCCCGTTTCCCTCAGTGGTATAAATTTTGGAGCAATTGTTTTAATGGTAGCATTTTAAAGTGTTTGCAATTTCATTTTAATGACAATCACATTAAAAAAAAGCTATTGACAGAGTACAGTGACTTTAAAATCGGGGAATAAAGAAGTTCGTTTTCTGTATAAAATGACGTAGATAACTTAGCTGTAATCGTAATATATAGATGCAGTTTGAGAAACAGTAAATGTTGTGAGAATTTTAGCTTTTTGACTTTCATGTGTTTAAATTCATAGGTTAATATTATACTAAACCAGTTTTATCATTTCGTGTAAGAGGTATTCGAAGAGGTGGCAGACGGTAATCTAAGAATATACAAGCGTGAGGATTTAATGAACTTTAGTTGAAAAGGGGCTCTTGGGTATTCTAAAGATCCAAAATTCAGAATTTTTGTGAACATTAAGGGAAGGCAGCATGCATTTTAAGCGAAGTGTTTAAAAGTTCTTTTATTTTCTTATACATATTTTCCAGTCAAAGGGGCGGGTGGTTGACTTAATGCCAAATAGGTCACAACTGCAGTGATAATAACTGAAACCAAACATGTTGTTTACAAGATGTGTATGCTTTTCTCTGTTGTCCTTTCAATCCTTAGGTAGTCACACCATCGACACAAATGCAGTGCTTTTAGAAAGAACTAAAGATTACCTCCTGATGTTGCTTGGGAGATTTACTTGTAGCGAGCCCTTAACGTTGCTTTCTGTTCCAACACCAGCGATTCCCAACAGTTCATACAGGAAAGTTGGATTGGACAACTTTTTCTTGCTCATCAATTCACCTGTTTAATACTAGAATGGAATGAATTATCAAGCGGCAGCTTCGTATCTCCATGTCTATGCATTTTAAAGAGTCATAAAAATAATGCTTTTTAAAATTTTTCTAGTAGGACCAAAATAATTTTTTCAGCATAGGAAAAGAAGGCAGACAGTAGTAAGTTGAACTGTTGTTGTACTCAGCAGTTTTAAGGATGCTAAAATGATGTATTTAAAGAGGTAATTGTCTGTTACAGATAAAAGAATATTACCGTAGTAAAAATATGAAAATACAGCGGTTTTTAAAATGTCTGAACTCTTGATCTATATATTGTAACTTTTCAGACAGATTTGGACAGAAGTGCATTTATGTTTTTTATCAGGTGCCTTTTATACTGTCGGTCTGATTTAATACACAGGAAATATGAATCCCTTAACATGACTATCAAAGTTACTTGAAATTGGAAGGTGAAACCTGCTGAAAGTGCAAGTTCATCTTTTTTGTTAGTGTTAATTAATTGCATCTACTTGCTTGAATGTATTTGATAATCTGTTTATCCACAATTGTAAATTTTGACAAGGTGTGTATAGCATTCTGTTGTTTAAAAACGTGATGTTGATCTGATCAAATTAGTTTTTCTGTTGGCAGTTAGTATTGCAACTTGTGATAACGAGAAAAAATAAGTCAGTATATTGAGGAATTTTGATTTTTTTAATTTAATAATTTATTTTTTAAATTTATTTTTTAATTTAATAATTTAATTTTTTAATTTTTAATAAGGACTACAGATTCTTACTAGGTGAGCAACATTCCTCAGCTTCGCATGATTCATCGCATGATGAATCATCATGGTTGCTAGATAATAACCAGAAAGTAGATTTCCATTTCTTGAAAAACTGTTTGTTTTACAATATGTTGGAACAATTCTGATCTGTTGCAGTTAGGCTGCAGAATTAGTAAACATCTAGTACAATAAATACTGTAATGTATATATAAAAAAGTGGAGCAACTCACAGAAGAGGTATTTATTCTGGAATAACTACCACCTGTGATCAGAGCACTGGTTATAAGAGAATAGAGTAATAATATCCTTGCTCTGGTTTAGACTGAGCAGAGACTTCAGACTCTTTCACATCCCAGGTGAATGCTATAATGATGTTAGCTTTACATTGTTCCAAGTACAGTGACTTGGACTGAAATTCAAAGTTTTAGCAAAATTGACATATTTCTACAATAGGATTTATTTTGTTCTGAATCTGCTGTTGCCTTCATATCTCAATTGAAGTGAAATAAAATGGGTTTCTTGTTCCTTGTACGTTTGAAAAACAAACATTACATCGGCTCCTGTACATAACTGGCATCTTAATGTGAAATGACATCGTCATTGTGTTATCTGTCATTCTTTGAATCAGGACAAATATATTTTGTCATTGCTTATGTTATTTTGCTGTTTTTGAATCATGAAAGTTTTATTACTTAAAAATTGAGTTGCTAGTAATGTTTTGCTTTACAATATATTTTTGGCCTGCAAGGAACTTTCACTGCTAGATTTTTTAAAGGAATTTAATTGTCTTCATATACATATTGATTTTTGGTTTCAAAACCACACACAACGTTTGTCATCTTACTTATAGAGTGTAGCTTTACAGACATTTAATGAATACAGCTGTTCACAGATTTGTATTATCTATATGGATATTACATTGATGAAATATGATCTCTCCTTTGGTTTCTGTTGTCACTTAACAACCCAAAAGCAGCAAATGACTCTTTATAGCAAACATAAGAAAAATTCTGGGTTAAAATACTTGTGTATCCTTAGCAAAAAATACAGCTTAACAAGAGGTTTCTAATGAATTCTGGGACTTAGCTCTTCATGTTAAGTATTATTAGATCGAATTTAAACTTCAGCTGTTGGGTCCCAAGACTTGAGAAGAAATTTTTAAAGTATTACTGCTTCTATAGTGTTAGGTAATTTTTAATAAGTACATTTAGGAAAATGTTAATATGTTAAGAAGTCTGTAGGAATTATAAAAAGCTTAATTATTCATCAGCTTTATGATAGCAATGGGCTATGTGTTTGTACATCAATGTAATTGCTTAAAAGTAGCTTTCCTGGCACGTATTCAAGATTGTGGTGTTAGAACTTAAAAAATGACTTTCTGGAATACTACTTAAAGCTGGTACCACATTATAAAGAAAATGGAGTTACCTTATGTGTGAGCTATATGATATTTTATATACCTAATGAAACTTGTCTGTGAATGTACTTCTGCGCATTACTAATCCTTTGATTCTGGAATACTTCTATAATGAAAAGAAACATTCTGGCTTCTTATTTTAATTCTTAATGATGAACCTCATTCTGTAGTGTAAAACTATATTTCTTAAACAGTTCCTACAGCGTTACTGCTTTTTCCTGAATGTAGTTTTAGTCTATTATGTGGAGCTCTGTGTCTGTCACAAGGGGAGTTAGAACATGTTGCTGTTTTATTACAGTCAGTGGGTAATGAACCAAAGTAACAAATCATGTTGCTATTTAATTGCAGAATTCAATAATTTAACTGTTTTGCAAGCACAAATGTTGATTTGATCACTGGTTTTGACAAATAGCTGAATTTAATCTTTTAGTAAAGTCTCTTCTGTGTTTTAAGTGTTGACAATGAAATCATATTTTTCTCTTACTGAATAACAGATAAATGTTCAAAATGTGGCATATGCAGAAATACGGTTTTGTGGTGATAAGCTTTAAGATTTTCCTTTTTGTCATTTGCAGTAGTAACAATACTACTCTTATTCTTGTGCAAAATTTAAATAACAAGCTTCTAAATCACTTTAAAAATACTGTTTTCCTAAATTTGTAGTGATTAAGCATGCATAGACACCTTAACAGTCATAAAGAATACAGTGGATAAAACAAAGAAGAATGGAGAAACTGAATAATTGAGTTTAGTCATGATTTAAAACCGGGTAAAAATGAGAATGGTGATTGATGAAGTATATTAATTTTTTTTAAGCAGTCGGGTGCCTCAAAAGTGTCAATCTGTGCTCTGCAAACTATACTTTGGTTTAGAAGTTATAGAAGGTATCTTAAGCTCAGTCCTACTACCCCTAAAGTATGCAACTAGTGTTTTTTATTTCATGTGTATATTCTCTTGTAGTTGATTTGGATGCTGAATGCAAAGTGGAAAAGTGGAGTGCATATTTGGTGACTGGATACTACTGGCATAATGAACCTCTAAAAAAAACCCCAAAACACCTCCCCCCACCAAATAATGTTGATTTTCAGATTAGGGAGAAGGAGAAGGATAGGAATATCCAAGAGAAGCCTGCAGGTGCTCACAAATCTGCGATCTGACCCATGATACACGTGGATTCTTCGCTTAGTGCTAGCATTCAAGAAGCAATGTTATAATTTGGATTAGACTGTTGATCCAACTGAAAGCAGACTTCAGAGGTTACGTGGGAAGATAGGTAGCTCAGCATAAGCACTACACCTGCTACACTGGAGGAGAGGAGTGGGATATGATATACAGGATCTTGTAGGGTAACAATAAAGGAATGAAGAACCGTTCTTGTAAATATCTCCATAAAATAGTGTAATTGATCAGTGTTCTATTGGGATTTTAAAAATTTTCCTTAACTTATTGCATTTAACTTGAAATATATTTCTTTATTTGAAAAAATACTTTGAGTTTTTCTCAGTTTTTGTTCTTGCTTTAAGTCTTGTTTTCTTACTTTCCTTGTTAATGGATAGTCTGGAAGAACACCAAACATTGCTAAAAGAATAAAGCAAACCAGCCTTTTTCTTCTTGTTTGTCAGTTGTAATCTAAGACAGTCACATAAAATAGATGACTTCTTAGAATTAGGGTCTCTTTAAAATGTAAATTTTGCACTAAAGATAATCTTTGCAAAAGTATTGTAAGCTTTCTTGGGACTTACAGTATCATTCCTCTGAATGTATGTGTGTATGTTTCCTGCTTAAATCATAACTGACAACTGTCTCATTTTACAGTTGTCTTTTCTTATATTGGTCTTCCATTTTTTGTGTGTGTGTAGGTTGCTATGGTGTTGATGGAGAGAGTGACTCTATCATGAGCTCAGCTTCAGAAAATTCCACAGAGCCTTGGTTTTGTGATGCATGCAAATGTGGTGTCACACCTAGTTGTGAATTGTGTCCTAACCAGGATGGGATCTTCAAGGAGACTGATGCAGGCAGGTAAGACTGAAGAAGTGATGTTTTGAATTTGATGTCATCTTACATTTAAAAAATTGCGTTTTGCCTTAGTCTGCTCCTATAGGAGACAGTGTCATAAATTAAACTTTGTTGTTCTCACTCTCTGTTGTTCTCTGTGTTTGTCTCTCTCACCTCACTTTTGAGTTGGGTGCTCTTTGGACGGTCGATCACCTAATTTTTTGTGTGCTCTAAATATTCTTCATGCCCATAGTAATGTTAGGAAGATGTTGCCTTAAGGTGAATTTGAGCATGAAGATCTATGGACTTATGAGAAAAAGATGTACCTGGGTGAAACAAAGATCACCATTAACTTCAGTGACTGATAAATCCTTTTCTTCAGTATGAAGTCACCATATATTGTTAAATGTATATAGATGTCTTACTGGATATACTAGAAGACCTTTCCTTATTCCCTTGAACTACTTGTGTGATGCATCTTTTTTTAACAGAAAAACATACTAGTGAAGGTGATGGGAGTCTTGAAAAAGAAACTTTTTTGTTTGTTTGTGTCAGGAATGCAGTTTACATTTAAACAAAAAGGTTCCCTGTGTAGGGGAAGTTAATATCCCATAAAATCTTACTCAGTATTCAGACATCTGCAAGGATAATGGCATGAAAGACTTCTCACACTTAACCAGGGTCTTGAATGATTGACAGCAGGGACTGGGGATCAGAAACATAAGAAAAATTGTGTAGTTGGTTTGGGTTTGCTCAAGCTTGGAGGTTGCAGTGAGAAAAGCAGGGTTTGAGTCCATTGAGCCTCACTGCTGGATAGTAGTATTATGTTCTAGTAAGAACAGGTTCTGGGGCTGGTCACAGTGGTTCTCTGGTGGTCACTGAGCTCGTAGTGTTTGGTGTCTGCTGTCAATTTCTGTAGAGTTTGAGCATGTGTTCTGCTAGTTTAATCAACCGCCAGAAAGCTGCATTTTATGCCTTGCTAGTATTGTGCTTTGTTCATGATTAATCCTGAAGAGTAGCAAAACACTGAAGTGCTCTTCTTTAGTTAGTAATGCCACGAAAAAGAATGATAAGGTCTGCAGCAGAGGAGGAAAACACCTTCCAGACTTTGTGTCATATTAGACTGGGAGAAGTATGTGGCCATTGGGAAAGTCAAAGCATGTGCTTCATTTCAAGGAAGGTAGACTTTATCCTTTCTGTAGTATTCTGCTTCATGCAAGGTAATGTCACTGCAACCTTGTACAAACTCTGCTCAAGTCCTGACTGAAGTATGACGGAAGTGGGAGGACAACTCCATGCTTCTTTTTAGGAGAGCTAAGGACCGAGTGTCACTGATGTGAGATAATGGAAAAAAATAGCAAAATTATATTTAAGTTGTGCTAAAGGTATTCAGGCAGACTTAGTATATTATAATTATTTTGAATGATGAGAATTAATTATTTTCTTCGTTTTTGGGACTATGCTTCACTTCTGATAATTTCCAGCCAGAGATGGGCTTTTTAGGAAGGACTTCAGGTCTAATTAGAAAGTAAGCGGATTAATTCTCATGTGATGTCTTCCATTACTGTCACATTTGGAAAATAAATTAAGATGTAGATATTAGCGGTAACTCATTTTCTGTAATAAAGGAGAGGGCAGGATTATCAGTGATGTCTGATTTATGGCCAGTGTTACTGTTTTTTGGTGGGTGGGGTTTTTTGCGGGAGGCGGTTGTTTTGTTTTGGTTTTTTAGACCATGACAGTTAAGTTCTTCTTCCATACATTTTACAGTTACATGAATTGCAGGTGTGTGGTAATAGACAAAGCTTTCAGATGCTGGGCCTGTCATAAGCTTTTCATTGATCATGTTAACATGGGAAGGCATTAATTAGTTGGTAAGGCTGGTCAGAGGAAAGAGAAGCTTTCTTAATCCTGTTTGAATGTATCTGTTTTAGATGTAGGAATATAAAAGTCTGAAGACATATCTTACTGATGATGATGGATGAGCTGGAAAGAATCCAGTTAAATATTCAGTATTAGTACAAATACTTTAAGTACTCTGAAATTCAGAAAAGTCAACGTGTTACTGTAAAACCTTTTGTGTTTTTTAATATGAATTCGTAGACACATTATGATTTACACTTAGCTATATATTGTAGAACAACATCTTTTGTACTAGCAAATCGCAAAATATAACAATGTCCTTGCGCTTTCTTCCCCTGCTGGTTTGTAGTGGTCTTCATGGTTTTTCCTACTCATTGTGAAGAGGTCCCTAGTTAGACTTGCACAAACTCTGGGAAGTGAGTTAAAATGAAGTAAAAAGTTTAATCTTATTTGTGTTAGTAAGCTTTTGTATATGTTATCACATAAGTCTACAGCTGTCTTCTAATGTGTGCATAAGCATATCCATATCTGCCTTTTTTTTCCCAGTTCTTTGGTGTTTGCTATATTTTTTTTTTCTTTTTACTTTCTGGCCTTACACAGACTTTACTGTTGCTAATACTGTAACAATCTGGTCCTGCCATCATTACAAGCTCAGCAGAGCTCAGGATGATGTTTTGGAAAACCTTTTTTGACATACTGTGTGGTCTGTCTTCAGGAAAGTAAATACGGTATTAAAATGTACTAAGTTGATTCAGGTTGTGTGGATTAAATTGTGCATGCCCTTGCATTTCTCCCTTAGTTTGTATTTTTTTCCTGATAGCAAAAACAATTTAGTTTGTGTTGGGAATAAAGAGATAACAAGGGTATTCATAACACTGAACTTTGACCATTGGATGCGGATGCTAGCAATAACCTTTGGAGGCATCTGCCTTTCTCCACTGAATATACATTGAGCTCAGCTTCTCAGTCTGTAGCTTGGATGCATTTTGAAGATATGCATACAGCATGTAAAAGGAATCTTTTTTTCCTTCATGTCTTCTACATGCATCTTATAAATGGGAAACAATGAAAGTAGAAGTAAATACCGTGCTATTAAAAAAAAAAAAAGTTATACAAGTGAGTCAGGATTTGTAGTGAATAATTTTGATCCCATAGAAGCAGTTGTGCTTCTTTTTAAATACTTTTGGGGTTCAGATGCTCAGTTTCTGGTTTCCTTAGGTTCAACAGTGTCTGTGCGTCTCCCTTATAACGCTGTTACACAATGAAACAAACTGTACTTCTCAGTTCTGTTTTCTATTTTAATAATAGTGCTGCTATATGGAAAAATGTTTTGAAAGACTGAAGTCAATTGTCTAACAGTTAGGAAATGTGAGAATCAATATCACCTGGCAAATTTTATTTCAGCCTTTTCATTCCTGTGTTTGGTAAGGCAGTTTAAGCACTATATATGTAATTTCCCATATAACCATAATAGAAACTACACTCAACATTTAAAAAATTGCTTAAATTTCCTTGTAAAATGGTAATATGCTTTTGGTTAATGTGGAAGTGTTTTCTCTGTGACACTGGTTCTCTGTGCAGAAGCACATGCCTGCTTTGGTGATTGTGGGCATTAACACATTACTTTATCATTGTTATTATTGTATTTTTACCTGCTAGATAATGTGATATGGCTATTGTGAATAAGTATAAGTTTATTCTCCCAGATGGATAGAGCTTATGCAGTATAAAAACCAAATACTACCTACCATGTGAAAATTCCTGTGCTCTCTTTCGTTCTATCATTTATTTATAAATTTGAATTCTCAAGGGTAATGGGGCACTAAGGGGAGGGTCTTGGAGCAGGCAATGTCCATTATGTTTTCATTGTAATTGGTAAATTGCAACCCGATTCAGTTCTTTTCTTGAAATATGAGCAAAGAGAGACTACTGAATAACAGAATCCTGTAACTCACCATTGCTCTCCATCCCCTTACCACCTTTTTAAAAGAAATTCTTCATATGCATTGGTGCTGGAAATTACACAAAGGCGAGACCAAACCTATTCAGTTTCTCTTCATAATCAAGTTGGAATAATTTCTCTGTTCCTATGTGAAAGGTGAATCATTAGAATAATGAGGTGTTTAATTTCTCAGCTGAAGCCTTTTCACATTAACCTCTCATTTTCACAAGCATAAATGTGAATTTATGAAATTTTATTTCTCAAAATGCTATTATCCAAGAATATGAATTCTGTCCTTGTTTCGGTATGGAGTTTTTCTTCTTCCCTAATCAACATCTGTCATCATTGCTCCAAGCTAAATGGATGGTAAAGTAACAAGGAAGATTATTCTTCTTTGATTACCCAATTTGTCTTAATTACAAGCTTCTAAAACATGTGCAGCTAAACAAATGAGCAGGAAAACATTTAGAACTGGTATTAAAAGAAGCTGAAATTGCTTCAGCTGTAAACTTGACTGACTTGTGTATGTTTTTTAATAAAGATTCAGGTCTGAGTTCGCATATAGGTCGTTAAAGAAATGAGGCACTTGTGTGCCAATCACACTGAAATGGCAGCTTAAATCTGTAATACTGTAATACTTGGGTGACATGTACTAAAACATTTTGAGAAGGTCAGTATGAAGCAAGCAGCCAGCTGTTGGGTTTATCATAGATAAACTCCTACAGAGTGCAGCAGCATTTAATACACCAGTGGAGCATGAAAAAACTGTGCAAATTAAATTGAGAAGCAGCTGCTTGTAGAAGATGTGTATCTTTATATTGAACTTTGGAGGGTACGTTTAGGAGGCTGTATTAAAACTTACTATCAAAAATCTCCAACCAGAACCTTGGATTTTTCTTAAGAATAGTAATTGTGGAGATGTGTAACTTCTGTTTGTACAAATTTGTTTTATATAACACATCTTAAATCAATGGAAGGGTGTAGAAAAGAAATCTTACAGAATTCAGATGGTTTTTATTTACAAAGAAGCAGTCTCTTTATGTCAAGGTTACAGGTCTCATTCTGCATGTGGTATTTTGCTTTAAAAAATATTTTTATTCCTTTTGAAAACAAGTAGAGTACGCTCATTTAAATGAGGTATTTATTTTAGTAAATGCATAATATATACCAAAGTAGACATTCTTGCACACACATATGTGTTTTTTGTAGGAGAATATTTCGTAAAGGTATGGTAGTGATTTAGGCCAAACTGTAGCCAGTTCTGGATACAGCATGGAAGGGCAGAGATGGTACCAGGTGCTCCACTGCTCCCCTGCACGAATATCTTGTGCCTCTATTGCTTTTGTGGGGGGAGGCAATCAGAAGATGCACTTTTCATATAGTAATGAAAAGAATCTTACTTTTTGCATGTAACATTGTATTAAGTTAGGAGGTTGTGCTGGCATGCTGGAGTGTTTATACTGTAATAAAAACAGTGACGAGCTTTACTCCCTATCTGAGCAGCAAGAAGTTTGGCAGAACACTTGAGTATCTCAGCTTGTTCTCTGGCAGCTAGCATGCTGTCATATTTGTACCATGTTATTTAAAGACAAGGTTGTAACTCGTCTTTAAATTTTAAATTTTCTTTGAGTCTTCCAGTAGTTACAGTGCTGTGACCAAACCGCTTTGTGGATGTGGAGAACCCTAGTAAAATCCGTAAGGACAAAGCAATGCAGTTGTTGCATGTAAATGTGTATTTAGGATATACATTCTTCTCGTTGTTTTAAGTTTTCATGTTTTAAAGGGAATTTACCACTTAGCATCTCAAACCTGAGTGATTTAACAATAGGGGAAAAACTTGTTTTCAAATACACAGGTGAAAAGTCTTGTCAGATATGACACTATGAATCAGTCAGTGTTGTGCCTTATGTTAGATTTACTGAGAAATTTCTTGTACAGTGAAGTGAGTTAATGACTTCTAAGTGGTTTCTTACTGTTACTGGGATTTTTCTGTTATTTGTTGTTATCATGGACTGTTTTTGGGGAAAATGCTCAATAAACAGTCTGTCCACCAATTTTGTACATCGCAAGATCATTGTTTTCTTTTTAAAGACTTAAATGTATATGTATTTTTGAGCTTGCTACTGAACCTTTCATATCTTGCTTTTTTGGAATTTCTGTTTGGATCTTTGAGTCATATATAATTAACATGAAACTTAGTAATTCTGAGTATGATAAATTCCAGCATTGTAGGTCTAAGGACCACTGGTGAGAAACATGCTGATTTGGGAAACATGGGAAATCAGGGTTACCTGTAGCTCCTGATTAGTATAACCATCAGCTTCAGTATTTCTTTCATTTGTAGACAGCCAGTTAATAACAGGTTAATGAACATACTGTTTAAGTGCAGCTAAAACTAGGATCTTATTGCTCTGGTCCAATTTAATTTTTTTTTTATTGACACACAAAACAAAGAGGAGGGAGAAGAGACAGGCTAAACAGTGGTAGACGATTGGGAAAAAAGAGCATAGCAGCATGGATGCAGATTTAAGTAGGTGGTAACAGGTCTGTGCTGAACCCCTGGCATTTAGGGAGACTGGAAAACTGCAGTTTGTGGGTAATGAAAGAGGCAATGGAAGAAGTGTTTCTGGCAGCATCCTGGGTCTTGAACACAGGGAGTAGATTCTATGATTCTATTAGAACAGAACAGAAGTTTTAGTCTTCACTAGTGATATATTTACTGTTAAACGTTAATGACTGGGAAGATTGTAAAGTGCTGAATTAATGTACTTGCTAAGGGACAAACAAGATATTTCAGCTCAGTTACATCCAGAGTCTCTAGTTGCATCCCGTGTCATCTGGGAGCTCTTAGGTTGAAAGTGGTAAGCTGCACACCTCTGCAACTGTAAGGCTGTTTTCTTGAATATTTGAAGATAACAGAAAGTAGCAATTCTCACCTTCTGTCCGGACAGTTTGCTCCCACCTAGTGACTTAGCAAGGGGTAGCAAATACTTTCTGGAACTTTGATAAAACAGAAAGATTATTTTGGGGAGGATCACCTCGTTTTTTAGAGCAGTTTGTCTCAGTTGACTTGAGTTGTGCATGCTGTGTAGAACAGATTTTCAGTTTGTCACTAACTGGTGATTTGTGACGATGAAAGTTGGATCTTTTAGAAAGTGTTAATTATGAAAGAAGAAAATTGTTTTCTGATGCAAGGCTGTCTTTTGGTAACTGAGAGTTGCAGGAGATTATGAAGACGTTCGTCAAAGGCAGACTTGAGGCTGAAGCTGTTACCGTTGTGCTGTATTTAATTACTAGACACTGAGGTCTAGATTGATGCTGTCTCATTTTATGCCCCTCAGGGCTGAAGATTTAGACCTATGACCCTCCAGTTTGTTTATAGCCAGTGAAGAAGAGTACAGCTAAGTACGTGTATAACTGAATGCAGCTCCTATCCGTGTTGCTTGAAACTAGTTAGTTTTGGTGATACTAACAGGTGTAACTGTAACAATGCAAAGTCTGACTGATGCTGTGTTGTAGGTACTTCATAGCTATATGCCTAGAGCTCAGTGTTGCTGTAACTACTTGTATAATTTTATTCCTCCCCTTTCCACCCTCCCCCCCGCCATAAAAGTATCTGTCTGCCTTAGCTTTATAAGTAATATCAGACTCTTCATGTATGTTTCATGTTGCATAAAAAGTGGTATGGAGCCCCACGTAAGAGCCGTCAGAACAGAAAGGTGATGGTAGCCCAGCCCTTGATCCAGACAGACAGAGCAATCCCAGTGGCTCTGAAAAGCCTTACCCTGTAGTTCGGTGTGTGAGCAGCTGAACTCCAAATATGCATTCTCTCTCTGCTTCTAATGTACTTTCCTTCAAACACGTTTCTTCTAGCATCTGTAACATTTATAAGGCACTTTGAAATCTGCAAATGGTGAGTATATTATAGGAAGAAATGTTGATAACAGTAACCTAATTTTGTCTGCTGTTTTAGGTGGGTCCATATTGTTTGTGCCCTCTATGTTCCAGGAGTGGCATTTGGAGATATTGACAAACTGCGGCCAGTAACACTTACAGAAATGAATTATTCAAAGTACGGTGCCAAGGTAAGTTTAGAAGAGACGTGCTGCCAATGAGTAGCTTTATTTTACATTTTTACGTATAATAGAATAACGTATATCTTCCCAGCTTTATTTTTCTTGTTTATAGCAATTGCAGTGAGGTTCAGGACTAAAAATGAGGTGAAGTTTGTTCATGGTTGTTATACCATTGCTCCCTCTTTCTTTGTATTTTCCTTACATCTGTTATCCATAATTTCTGGCTTTGTTTTCCCCCTAATTTCCCTTATTCTTTATGCAGGTGCTAATTATTTTCTTTTAAAGTCAGTTAGTGGCAGATTGCCAAAATGTGGATGGAAAGTGAGGAGGATTTATGGGATATGAAATGGAGAAATGGAAGTTTAGGCTGATTAAGAAAGCGACAGATGTACATTTAGTAAGAATTACTTTAGATTCTATATAATTATAAGCTAGAATGCATACAAAAAGGTTGCTGCAAAGCAGTACTTAAAAAAACGCCGCAACAATATGGGGCCCTCAACTTGAACAGAAAAATGGCTCTAAAATTTAAATGGTTTTACATGTAAATGTTTTCAATCCAGATCAAAAGTGATCACGCACAAACCATCCAGGAAACCATTGCAATGGGCAGAGGACAGCACTCCGTAATTTGCTAAATACTGTTTCTGGAGCTAACGGGGACAGTGTGGAGAAGCCAAATCTATCAGGCTAATGTGAGGGAAGGTGTCTGTACTCCTGCTGTTCTAGTGCTTCATTTGTGCATAGTCAATTTCATTTTCTGGAATGTCAATCTGTCAAGTTGAATACTAAATGAAATTATATAGTACATTTTTAAAAATACATATAATATATAAAATAAATTAAAACACCTGGGATTGCCCATGTGCAACATACCTGTATCAGGAGCGTGTTCAGCATGGGCTTGCTTGAGGCATTTAGCATTGTTTAGAAATGTCCGTATAAAAAAAAAGTCGGAGGAAGCTCCCAAAACCCTACAAACTGTTGTTGCAATGAATCATGATTTTACTTTTTTTTATTAACATGAGTGATGTATAGGAGCAGGGCTAAGAATTTGGTCATATTTTATTACTGTGAGTAAGGTGAAAGTGAACTGCACAGATGAGGACTCATTGCTCTTGCACAGCTGTAAACAAACGCTGTTTGCTGTATCAGGTGTGGAAGTTACAGCTTGCTTAGCTAAACTTTCCCCTGCAAAACCAGTTTAATATAACATTTTTTCCCCCTTAATTTCTTATCTGTTACGTGTTGCTGTTGCACAGCTAAAGGGTGCCCCTTTAGGGTAGTGTATGCGGTGTTTTGAGATTCTTCAATCACTGAGTTTTCTTTGCCATTCCTTTCTGTTGTTTAACTTTCTGTATGGAGATATTTTCTGTAGGTGATGCACAGCTTTGCTCTGTATTCAGTGTGAGAGATTAAGAAATGCACACCTGTATAATTTTAGATCATCTTTATGCACTGGATAGCAGCACTGCTTAAGCAGCCCACGTTCCCATTTGCTTCTTCCTGGTTATGTGCTCATCACTCTAGTTTGCTGGCACAGCTGTTTCATAGAATCATAGAATCATTAAGGTTGGAAAAGGCCCTGAAGATCATCAAGTTTCATATGAATTTGTGGTGAAGCAGACTGAGGAACTGATCTGGCTGAAAAATAAGGGTTTTTTTTCCAGGTCACATTAGGGGATGTCAGTTTGCTGTGTTGCAAATGGCTGTGCCTAGAATGCATGCAGCCCTAGTGCAGTATTTAAGTGAATCACAACCTTCTTTACTGATATTTATGATTCTTGAGTATTTCTTTCTGCATTGTCACACAGTTGCTTCTCAGTCGTTGCGTATCAAAGGACATCTATGTAATTATCTATGGTCTTCAGTCATCCAGAGTGCTGTTCTTTTTTTTGTTTGTTTGTTAGTCCTCTGAACTTGTTGAACAGTTGAACATTTGCTGAACAGTAATGTTTTTTATGATGCCATACTTTTATATAAGTAATTGTGCATTAATTGCTTGGGTGGTGTTTAGTTGTTGCTCTAAACGGGAATAAAAGACATGGTGTTTTAAGCACTTTTCCGTTGCTAGTTGAAAATGAAATCAATAGTGGGGGTTGGGAAGGGGTGATGTTTTAAGTAGCGTCGGTTTTCAGCAGCATACTTGGTTTCTGTACCACACAGGAGTAAACCTACCTGTTTGGTTTTTATATGTAAGATGTAAATTATCAAATACTAGGCAAAACACACCTGAAATATTTAATGTGGCATTTTCCACTCTTCTTTATACAGGAATGCAGTTTTTGCGAAGATCCTCGTTTTGCCAGAACTGGTGTATGCATTAGTTGTGATGCTGGGATGTGCAGAGCTTATTTCCATGTGACCTGCGCTCAGAAGGAAGGCCTCCTCTCAGAAGCAGCAGCAGAAGAGGTAGCTATGGAAAGGATAGAATAAAAGAGTTGTATCGAAAGCTGTGAAGGTGACTTGAAATTGTGCCTTTTCTGCTCGCTAACCCTGAGCAAAGTTGCTGTAAATTGGTAGCAAGTCATAGGCTGAGTAAAGGGACTGTCCAGGGAGGGCTCTTTGTTCACCAAATTGTCCAACTGAGCACCTTTTGAAATGGCCTGGAAGAAGGGACAGAGAAGGTTAACACAGAAGTTGGCTTAACAGACTATCAGTCAATACAGACATGAATTCTAACCCTAATTCTTGAGCTTCACCTTGGTTGACATACTTACCTAGCTGTTTGTAGTATAGTAATCTCTGTTTCATGCCAAATAGGACTGTCTGGAGAAATTAACTACATTTCTAATGCCATTTTTTCATGCATGTTTTCCAGTATTTTCTTCAAATTGCAATGCAGGTTTATGACTTTCCTTGCGGTAACATTAATCTTAGGAATCAGAATGAAAAGCAAACATTTATAACCTACTGGTAACTTTTAAATATATGTTCTTACCAGTTTTCTTCCTGTAATATGATTAAAGCAATTAAGATTTGAAGCTCCTACTTCGGAATTCATTTTTACAGTATAAGTACTTTTAGGTTGCCAAATTTCATCCTGATATGTGTCATTTGGATTAAGTTCGTCATGTTCATAGCTGCACAATTTAACTTCTTACTGCTTTAGGAAGTACCACAGGTAACACAGAAACAAGCATTACTTGCATTATTGACACTGACACTTTTGTTTCTGAAAACAGCGGGCCACTAAATGATTCTTAAAGGTATAGCAAAATACTTTCTTCTGTGAGACTAATAAATAGGAAGATAGTACAATTACCTCATTGTTGTTATCCCTAATAAATTATGTGTAGCGTTGATTCTTCAAACACTCTAGAATTTCTTCTACGCATATGCATTTACTTGCCTTTCCACCTTAAAATTGTCTTACATGTTTTCTGTAACCAAAATATTTTTAATCAAGGCCTCACAGAATCTAATGTTAGGGTGCTGCTAATTTTTGGAAGTAAGTTGTCACACATTCTGAAAATCTAAATCAAAATAAAATATGTTTGTAAGGAAAGCCTGTGTAGATTTTATTGGTCTGTGGTTTATAGGTGGAGTAAAGGAAAATTTGATAGGCAAATTATTTATTAATATTTTTATTACTTTATGAAGGAAGACTGCTTTAAGTTCTCCTTAGTCTGTAGATTTATGATGATGTTTCCACACTTTTGAAAATGTGCTGGCAATGAAATATACTTCTCAAACCATATCTCCTCCTGGCTCAGATGTTTGTAAGTTTGCAAGTGCTAAAAGTTTCTATAAACTTATAGCCTTGATAATGTGCAGATCTGATGGAGTGCAGAATGAAAAATGGAAAAAAAAAAAAATCATCGGAGGTATGATAAGTCATGTGGGGGTATAGCCACCAAAAATATTTGGAAAATCGTTTGAGAAAACCAAATATATTGCCTTCTGTATTATTCAGAATTATTAATCCCTTGTAGGATATAATGCAAAAGATAACACAGAGAAGCAACAGGAAGTTAACAATACATGTTTGTTATATTTTAAATGGATTTGTACTTAGGAATTTCTTCTGGGAATGAGAAAATAGAGATTGAACAGTAGAGAGTTAAATAGTTAACGCATTTAAAAATGTTTAGGGTCATGCAATGAAAACAATGGAAAACCACTTTATATGGTAAATTACATCAACATGACAAAATTGATGTAGAAATACACATATTAGTTGTTTTTAAAAACATGCCTGTTTGAACATGTGAACTGATGCCAGATTGCTTGTGCTGTTCAGAGCCTTTTGGCCTTGTATGTCTTACTTTATTTTCGTTCCTTCCCCTTTGTTTTCTCTGAAACAGGATATAGCTGACCCTTTTTTTGCTTATTGTAAACAGCATGCGGACAGGTTAGACAGAAAATGGAAGCGGAAGAACTACTTGGCATTACAATCTTACTGTAAAATGTCCTTGCAGGAAAGAGAAAAACAGCTCTCGCCAGAAGCTCAGGTATTGTATTCGTGACACAAATGCGTCTGTATTAGTCACCTATGTTAAACAAGAAAGAAATTAAGAGGATGGAAATTGTTATTATAGTAGGAAATGAAATGTGAAATACATTGAGAGTACATGGTCATTTAACAAAGCAGTGAATTATTTGTAGGTTTTGGTGTCTAAGAACAATTCTCAATAAACTGATTATCAAATAGGGATATCTGCTTGTCTGAATTGAAAAATCTTATTTTGTTTGTTTTTTTGGCAGAAAGTTGGTAATTCCATTTTCATTATCATTCATAGATTTTATTTAACATTTTCTTCAAGATTCTTAACAAAAAAAGACAGCCAGACAAGAAGTGAGGTATAGTTCTATATCCAAGTTGAGTAAAAATCCACTTTTTTCCCTTAGTAATATCTTGAAGTATATCAAGAGTTTAGCTTGCCTAAAGTTTTTTCTTGGATCCTTTTTCACTTTTTGTAGGCCTAAACAGTATTCTATGTGCTGGGTTTTTTCATAGTAACGATTTCCTAGAAAAAAAAATTATGTAGGTACAGATACTGAGCCTGTGCTGCTGAGTGGGAGCTGTCTGAAAATCTTAGGCAAGGTTGTATCCCTGTCTAGTGGCAGATCCATGTAAAACTATTAGTTACTGCATAAGCTCAACCGATAAATGTCCTGTTGATATAAAGGTTTCAATCCCTCTGAGGGAATCCGTATACTTTGATATGTTTTAATGTGTGTACTTTACTATTTTTTCTGATGCTGAGGAATTTATAGCATACTTTGCTTTCACTGCTTAGGCTGAACTGCATTCTGTGCATACCTGTCATACCTATGTAGAAAAGCAGCTCGTCTGAATGAATCCTGCCTAATTTGTTGCAGAAAGTAGCAGAGGCTGTCAATAATGAATGGCAGTTATAGGAGAGAAATAACTACTTTTTTTTTCTGAAGGGAGAAGTGTAGTGTAATGATCAGAAAATAAATCTTTGTATCATCAAACTTTTTATTTAAAAAAAGTCATACCTTTCTAGTTCTTCAAAGATCTTTGAACAGGAGAAGGGAGTATTGATTTAAAATGACCAGCGTATTTGAGAATGAATATGATCAAACTCTATCATAGAAGAATTTTGAATAAAATATTTCTGTGGAGTATGTACGGAGCTTCATGTAGCTTGATTTAAAACTGGTTACATAATTCTTGCTGCATACACTGAGCTCTCAATTACGTGAAATGCACCTGTGTAGTGGAGAAATCACAATAATATGAATATTACCCAACATAATAGTAAGTACTGGTTGTGCAAAATCCGTTTGTCAGTTTGGGTCCAACAGGACTTATTAGCTCTCTTTTCAGGCATTTGTTATGCGGTGCTGATAATGCTGATAAGTTCCCAGCATTTCCCTCTCTTCCTCCTCTTTCCCCCAAACCAAGACCCTGCATGTTTTTTAATCTGAATTATTTGGATTAAATGTTTAGAGACTGAAAGAATGAATGCTGAAAACTGCAGGTGGAGTTACTTGACATGGTGTCATAGGCATATTGATACAGATGTGATAACTTGCATACATTTTGTAAAACCACTTGATTTTACTATTGATGGCTCTGGTGTTGTATGAATTTGCATTAGTATTGTGTGTGCGCGCCTGAGTTTGCATGGATGGAAACAGATTGGATGCTTGAAAAATACATTTCCATGTCCTGTTGTATGTATTGGGATTTTATGAAGTAATTGTTTGAGGGGTTTCTGTGCCTTTTTAGAAATGCAGAAGTGTAAGGTGTACTTAATACATACTAGAAATGTCTGACTAGGAAGTTGACAAAAAATGCATAGAAATTCACACTTTACCTTACCATATGTTATCTGCATGAGGAAGTTAAAATCACACCAGTAAATTCAACCATCTTTGTTAAATTAGGGTTTTGTCTGAGAAATAAGGAACTTGAGACAGCTTAAGTCTGGAAAAAAAAAGATTAAGAAGTAAATATATGTGTATATATATATATATATGTACATACAAAAGCTCACTTCCAGGGGAGTTTGTAGGCTTAAGTAAGGTTTACAAACATTGAGCTAACATAAAAAAGTATGCTATTGTACAAATAATTTATCTAGTATTGCAAAAGAGGATTTTTGAGGCACATGTTTGAAGGAGAAAAAATGGATATTTGGTGCTTTGTAGCCCAGGCAGGAATAACTGAGCAGGTGGTCTAGCAAGTCCTGTGGATCAAGAAAGTAAATCCTTCTAAAGAATATAATATATAAAGCTGTCTAGGAGTGTTATGGATTGTTGGAAGATGTTCTACATTGAAATACTTTTTTTTAGTATCAATAAAGGAAATGTACATTCCTTGAGTAAAGCATATACTTGAAAATTGCTTAAATCCATGTAACTTGAGTTCAGGATTCCATTTAGACATTAGTCCTTTTAATCTGTCACTTATTTCTGGAATAAAGCTCTGGGTATACAGTTGTATGACATCTTAAATTACCCCAAGGGTTTTAGAACTGAGCATGTAATCAGTGAAGAAGCATCTTAGCTGAGGAAGCTATAAACCATCCTTGGTCCTTCTAGTGGAGAATAAAGCAAGGCAGTGGCTTTAGGTAGATCTGTTGCTTTCTGCTGTGCGTCCAAGAAAAAAGCCCTTGGGGTCAGAGCTGGCCTGCAAGCCACATTTGCCATGTTTCTTAGTCATTAATGTTCAAGACCTCGTAAGGAAATGTGTGTTAAACTGTCTGTAATATTACCTTCAGCGATGCTATTTGTAATCAGACGTTCCTTAACGATAGCGTGTATATATATGCTTACTTTTTTGCTTTTGTCTCAGGAGTATCTCATACCATATGGTGGGGCAGTTGGATTAGTTTAGTTTCTTCTTTCTGCAGGCAAGTAAACAACTTCTAACTGATAGTCAGCTGGAGTTTTGCCTCTGAAGGTTTGTATGTTGATGTCATTTTCTGCTAGAATTGCCGCTACATAAAGTTCCCACAAGACAGCATTTTCCAGCTGTCAGTAACAACTTGATCTTCTGGGGTTGATCTCCCAGATGGTCACAAATATACAGATGTCATCAACAATATATATTGTGGTCTTCTCTTGCCTACTTCACTTCTGTTTGGATTGTGTTTTTGGCACATTATGATCAGCTAGTTTAACATTTATAAGGAGATATGGCATTGAGAAAGGAGTTCCTACGAAAGGATGTCAACTATGGCAAAAATGCTATTCATCAACTTTTATTGCTCATGTAGATACCAATTTAAAGTGTGTCTAAATGTATTTTTGATAGGTCAGCCAAGGCTTTTCCCAGTAGTAAGGTTTCACAGTCCCACCAAATTATCATTATTAGAAGGGATTGTCTGAAAGCCAGCAGTCATTTGTGTTACTTTCATTGGTGGAGAAATCTCATCAAGAAACCTGTGAATACCTCCAAAACCTAGTGAAAGGATAATGTTATTTGTGTATGTGTTTTGAAGTAAAATCAAATGTCTGTATCGGTGGCTGTTTCTTGAGTCGTAGAGCTCTGGGATGAAAATAGCATTGATTGGATCATGCGGCTTTTAAAATACAAATAAATTGCAGATGTGTTCCAAAAGGATATAACTCAAAACCAATTTTGAATTGTTGCCTTGCATTTTTAATTTATGGAATTCTTTATTGCAGGCTCGAATCAATGCCAGGCTACAGCAGTATCGTGCCAAGGCGGAGCTAGCCCGCACCACCAGGCCTCAGGCCTGGGTTCCCAGGGAGAAGCTGCCGCGACCACTTACTAGCAGTGCTTCAGCCATACGTAAGCTTATGCGCAAAGCCGAGTTAATGGGAATTAGTACAGACATTTTTCCAGTGGATACATCAGATACTAGTTCCAGTGTTGATGGAAGAAGAAAACATAAACAACCAGCTCTCACTGCTGATTTTGTGAATTATTACCTTGGTAAGAATGAAAATTGCATATTTTTCTCAATGAAAAATTATCACTTTGTTCTATCTGTACTGTGCTGATTCATTTGCTTTTTTATTTTACTTATATGTCTTTGTTGTTAATAGATAAATATTAATTATTACTTCATTTTAGATCAGGTATATTATTGCTTGATATCTGTATTTATACAGAAAGTTAGTGATTTTTTTAAAGACATTTCAGAAAAGAAGAAAATCTTTCAAATATAAACAGGAGGCACTGTCTTTGCTAAGAAGGGAGTGGAAGCTTAGATACCTTTGGTTTTTTTTTTTTTTTTTTTTTTTCTCCCCCTTACGTTTTCCTCCCTTTCTGTGTGGAATGGCGTGATTTTGTCTTTGGGACTGTTAGCTAGATGACTGATCAAAGCTCACCATTTGAATAACTAGACAAGTTATGCAGCAGAAAGTAAATGTTATGACTGTTCATTCTACCCAGTCTGTGTAATAAAGCTATAGGCTGTAGTTTTGTGGTTTTGTGTTGTTATGATTTTATGCTTTTCATTGCTTCACTTTTTTCAGTGCTTAAAACTTGAAAATGTAGCCAAGGATAGGAAATAATGCAATTTTCTTTTAAATAGAGAGAAATATGCGCATGATTCAAATCCAGGAGAATATGGCTGAACAGAAGAATATCAAGGATAAATTAGAAAATGAGCAAGAAAAGCTTCATGTGGAGTATAATAAGGTGAAGAAAAAGGGATAATAAACCATTGTACTGTTTTAGTATTGCTGCTGTTAACTTTGATAGCATTTTGCTTTCCAAACAAAATGACTTAGAAGGAAAGATACAAACCATTCTTTCTTTAAAAGTAATATTTCAAAAATATATTTCTTCTTTTAAAAATATTCTGTGGTCCGTCCACCCCGTGCACGCAGAATCAATTTCTAAAATGTCTCATGCTGCCTGGGCACGAGTTCTTTAACTGACCCCACTAAGAGCTCCGGTAACAAATTGCACATAGACAGGCAAGCCCCTCTCATGAGTGAACTGTGTCTTAAGGCCCTTCTTTTCTTCATTCTTTTAATGCATTTAATTTGAGACTTTGAGACAACAGAGTTTGACTCCTCTCTCTCTCTGTGTTTTTCTGTTTTGTTTTGCTTGTGTGTAGTTCTAGGTTATTTTGAACCTTCTTGTTTCTCTCTTGGAACCCTACTTGATAATTGGGAATCTAGGATTGTTGGAGTGTTATTTATTTATTTATTTGTGTCAACACCAACTCCAGTTGTATTCATCCTAGATTTAATGACTTGGCTAATTTTTCAGGATGAAATAATCAGTATTCACACATCTATAGTGTCCTCCTGGTGTTTTGTTTGAGTACAGGAAATTTGGGGCCTATAAATGATGGCATTGCTCCCCTTAAATGCTGTTAATGTAATTTTTTATTAACTCATCAACATGGTTAAAAAAGCATTTTGTGTTTTAATTGCATTTTTACTAAATAACTATTTCTTTATTTTAATCTTTAAATATTTTGAAATGGAACTTAGAATTTCTGTTATATTTTGTGACAGATGACATGCTGCAATTCTTGCTGAATTCAGCAACCTATCAAGTGATGGTTAGTGATGACAAAAAATAGTGTTGCTATTAATTCTTAAACTGTTGGGTGTGTGTTTTAAATGAGAACATATGGAAATGAAGCAGCAGGTCCTTGTGAACTGTCCAAAGATGATAAAGAGGAAGGAGATTGTGCATGGGGCTTATAGCCAAATTAATAGGTTGTATATGCTGTGTGGTAACTAACAGTTACTTCCAGAAGAAAAAAACCCCTTTTTTTCTGCTTGCATCCTTTCATAAATTATACCTCTTTCTATGAGAGTGAGTGAATATTCTTTGGTAATGCAATATAGAGCTTTAATTCATCTGGTAACTTGTTACAATCTTGCTGCTTAAGGAGTATGGACAACACATGCAAGATGTTGCTGTATTTTAGTTTTGCTTTCTAATCGACTTTATGAAACCTTATTTTCATGCTGAAATGCTTCAGATCTTCTTTACAAAACAGGTGGCTGCCCAGGTTTTCATCTTAGTTCCATTAAATTGCTGAATGATTGCACTGGTCTCAGCTATATTGACATGAGTTCCATTGTTTTTTAATCCCACAATAAAGTAATGCACCCTAGATAGGTAAGAGGTTGAATAAATATTATTAACTAACTCTCAATGGATTTTCATTGCTGTTGATTTTTTTTCTTTAACTTTTCAGCTGTGTGAGTCCTTGGAAGAGCTACAAAATATGAATGGAAAACTGCGAAATGAAGGGCAAGGCATTTGGGCTCTGCTGGGTAGAATCATTGGACAGGTTGGTTAGTTTTTTTCCCCTCCTCTTTATAGTTTGTAGGCAGACCTGATTTTCAAAGAACAGGCCTTTTTGTTTCTATCTGTCACTCCTATGGCCGAAGAAATTGATTTGATCAGACCCAGGCTTTACTCTGGGGATAATGTTTCCTGATTGAAATATCTAGACCTGTGCAAACCACCTGCTGGGAACCTGTAGCTTAATTTTGTTGTTGTAATAGCGATCTTGTTTGCAAAATTCTTTCATTTGGTATAACTGATTGACCTGTCGTTTGTGATGAACCTTAACTTGAAGTATGAGTTAATCCTACCATTTTTGTCTCCACATTGTCTTTAGTTACTGTAGGCTTCAAATAATATGGTAACCCTTTATGGCTTTTGTAAGACATAAATCTTTACAACTGCAGTATGTATGTGATGGTTTTTAACTGGACAGAGCAGAATATTTTGGTCAAATGAATATAAATATCTAGGAGAAGAGAAGATTTGGATTACTTCCTGTGGCCAGCAATTATCTTTGTTCTCATTGATACACACGGAGAAAAGAGAGAAGTATAGATTCTTGCCATGTTTTGATATATGTTTTATGTCAAAGGTATTAAATGGCAGTGGACATTCTAGATGTCCGAGAGAGGTTGAAATGATTGCCAATTATGATTTTAAGGAAGATTGAAGACACTGTTCATTGTGAAAAAGCAGACATACAATTAGGTCACAATTTTGTCATGCCCATTGGTACTGCTTAGTTTGTGCTGCTGTTCAGAAAATGAAGCTTACCATTTCTTTATGCAGTAGTAATTCTTAAGGTATGCTAGCTTTTTGTGGTTCTACTTGTCCGCCTATCTTTTCTACTTGTGAAAAAGGATTCTCACGTAAAGTATCTCTTGAATCAAGATTATTTTTTTCCCTTCTGTTTACAATGGCTTTGAGTAAATATTCACAAATATATTTCCTGGTGCAAATGTTACTAAATTAAAAATAAAAAAAAAGAAGATAAGTTAAGTAGAATTCATTTGCACAGCTTGCATGACATTTTTTTTCCAGTTGGTTGAACAGATGCAGACCCACGGGGCTGCTGAGAAATGACTTTGATAGATGCTTGCTGTCTGAGAAGCTAGCATACTGCAGATTAGTAGAAACCCGAAGAGAATCTCATCTGCTTTGTGGCGGGCTTGGTCCAATAAGATAATTTTTCTAATTAACCTATCGAGCACCAATGTAGCAGTGATGTTGGGGAAAATAAACTGCCACAGTATTCTTCTGTCAATTTTGTAAATTTGCCTTTGCTTGTTTCAGCTGCCTAGACAAATGCATCCTTGTCCATTCCTCTATTTGAAGCTTGAAAAAAAAAAATTAAAAGCTAGTATTTCAATGTGTTTTTTACTTATTGAATAGAAAAAAATGAGTATAATATTATTTTATCCCAGTATGATTTCATAATATAAACATCTGTAGTTGCTCTTGTCTGCAAAATAGCTAGCTAAGCAATTTCCCATGCATAATTTGAGTCTTGTTCTTCATGCATTGAGGTTGGAGTGGTATTCTCTAAAAGTCTCAAGACTCATGTATACTGCATTTGTTCAAATCCAATAGAAATTGAATATACCAGCCATTTTACGTGCTCCTAAGGAAAGGAAACCAAGTAAAAAGGAAGGAGGAACGCAAAAGACATCTACACTTCCGGCCGTACTTTATAGGCAAGTAATGAAGTCTTGACAGAATAGATACAGTACCTAGTAAGTTATAGTTTCACAAAAGTGTTAAGGGAAAATTGTTTGCTTTGGTTTTGATTAACAAAATGCTTCAGAGTTGTCCATATGTTTTACTTACTTCTGAAGGCTAAGTTGAATAGTAGTCAATTGTTCACCTTAGCACACATCAGTAAGGTCTGGGCTTTTTTTTGCTAATTCGACATCAGTGCTTTAAGGACAATGGTAACTCTTTACAGCTAAAATAGAAGGGTACTTTGTAACGTGAGAATTTTTAACTGGTCATCTTGTCCTTTGAATGCAATTATATGTGTTGATTTTGCGAACAGTGCTGCTGCTGTTTAGTTACAGTGGCTGGGTGCATAAAACACTTACCATATAAGAATTTTTACTTGTGGCTCATGGGTTGTCAAATGCTTTGGGATATCTTGTGTTTCAAATTTCCCTACTTCCATTAATTCCCAATAAAATAAAATGTATTCACTTATTCTGTCATTGTTCCACCTTCTCCCCTCTTCTATAAGTTGTGAAGCTACTGACTGGGTTTTAACTAAGCCTAACAGTGGAACATATACAAGGATCCCAGAGCATGACTGTGCAGAATATACATATCGCCTTGGATCTTCTTTTGCCACCAACTGAGAAGTGGCACAGTCTTGTCTAGATACAGATAAGTATCTAGAGAGCAGCAGCCAGGCTTCAAGCCACAGCAAGTGGGCAGTATCTTGCCCAGCTAACAGGCTAAATGGAGAAGATGGGTTACATAAGCAAAAGTTAATTCTAGTGCTGCGAGAGGTGGAAGTCTTGAGAACATGACAGTGGGCTGAGGATTTGGCAATTTAGACGTATACACAAAAAAGTAATAGGAGTCATGCTTTACTAGTTCTGTTGCATTCAAATCCAGTCATTTAGTTCTTCCCATTTTATAATGGAATCAATGAACACTTGATCTTTTTGAAATAACTTAAAATTTCAATTCCAGTTAAATAATAACAATAATAAAAAGGAAATGTAATTTCTTATGAGTTGATACGTTGCCCAACATAATAGCAACACAGACTTATTTCAGGGTGCTTGCATTGTTAAAATAAACATATGATTGTTAGGACTGATAGTAGCAGCATAATTTTCTATTTACGTGTTTAGATGGCACAGGTAGTATTTTTTCCATTTGCCATTGGTACGTTTTGTTGAAGTGTTGAGTGATTACTTACTGGTTAGAAGTCCTCAAAAATTATTATTAACTATATTAGGTGCCTTTTATACTTTACTGTGTATAGGTAGAAGCTCCTTAAAAAGTAAATATGCACTTAAATGCTGCGTTCAAGTTGAAGTTGCCCCATGTTTATACTGAAACTGGGGAATGTGCTGGGATGTATCGTTTATTCTTTATGATTTCAAATGTAATTATAATGCTTTTCTGATACTTACATTAAAAGTTGTGGAATTTGCAAGAAAAACCATGATCAACACCTGCTGCTACTGTGTGATACTTGTAAACTCCATTATCATCTTGGTTGCCTGGATCCACCTCTTACAAGGATGCCAAGGAAGACCAAGAACAGTTACTGGTGAGAATGCAGTTGATGTGTTGTCTTGTTGCTGTCTCTGTGCTTAAAGTAGGACATAAACTTGAATAGACTTGCAAATTCTAAGTGTTTTAGACATTCCTATAATGCAGTCTGAACTGAATTATTTTATTTTCAGGTTATTAGCAGTGACATTTCCAGGTAAAAAAAATGTTGTAAAGATTTTCTCATTATTAGCCACTGTGTATAACTAGATTATAGCTTTAATTTTCTTAGCTTTTGAGTTCACTTGTGATTATTAATGCTGCTATATAATAATGGTAGGAAATATAGGCTGCCTTCAGGAAGTGAGACTTGGTCTTCTGTTTATCTTCAGACCCAGATATGCAACTCTGTCCAGATCTTTAGGAAAATACTTGTAAATAAACTTGTAAGTAGTAGATTAGTTTATTGCAATATGGGAAATCATTTGGGTTTACTTACATCTTATGACTCAAATCTGCGATGGCAGAAGCATATGCATAACCATGCTTACTGCAGTTGCATTTCCATGAATTAAAATTCTTTTTGTGCCAGTGGAGCTGAACAAAAGCTAAGTTGTACAATGGAGAACTGATAACGTGGTAAAAGTGCTGATTTCCAAACTGTCATAAAATTAGTGTGCTGCTGTGTTGTGTTAGCGTTCTGCATGTTTCTAAACTGCTCTGAAATGTGTTAGAAGCAGTTATTCAGAAGCAGTTTTTATCTGGCAAGAAGTTAGTGTACAGCATCTCCAGGAATCATCATCACCTTGTCTGAACATTGAGGTACCAAATCAGAATAGTATAAGAATTCCTTCTAAAAAATACAATAAGATGATTTTAACTGAGAAAACTTGGTTTCTATTTTTCTTCATATGTCTCTTAATTTTTTTTTTTAATTTCCATAAAACATTTACTTAAGTCATCTTTTTGGGTAGTTTTGATGATTGTGTGCCGGTACATGAAATGGGAGTTTTCTCTTTTTTTATATCTTAACATGACAAAACCTGGATTTACCGCAGTAAATTTAGTTAGTAAATTAATAGAGATTTCCTTTAAAAGCTGAAAATCTCAGAAAGGTTTTCACCATCACTAATATTTTTCTGAACATAGTTTTCCTTTAATTATTTAATGTAGTCTGTGATTTTGGACTTTTTACCATTTCAAGGCCATTCTGAGCTCTTTGGTCAAATTTACCAAGTAGTTATGTTACATGGAAGCATATTTTTTTAACTTTTTTGGTAGCTTCTGCATTTACAAGGGAGGTTCTTGATTTTTGTTCTGCTTTTTAAGCAAGTTGAAAAGGCTCACTAAAAGCCATCAGTCCAAAAGATGTAAGACTACAATTCTCAGTAGGTGTTAAAGGCAGAATAGGTCAGGTAAGGTAGTAAAACACTTCTATTTCAAAGCTATAACTTATCTTTGTTGTGAATTTCATGCTTCAATTATATCTCAGATCAGAAGCTTAGCTTTTACTTCTAATTAGCTAAGGCATATTCTGGAGTGTGAGATTATAGCAGACAAATTGAGCCATATTGATTGCATTCTTTTCATCATTGGACATGCCTTTATGTATTCTTTTCAGGATCAGTAGAGAGCATATAGAATGGACCCTTAATCTAAGTTTCAGGTCAGCAGGTTTTCCCCCCCATGCTGTTTTGAATACCATTTTAATCTTTTGATTAAGCTATGAAGAAAAGTGCAATTTTTTTTTATACAGGGGCTGTGCACTTTTCAGATATTTGTATAGGATATAATAGGAACTTATGCAAAAAGATACAGTAAGAAAATGGGTATAGTGGGACATTCCTAAAAACATTAGGCAGGTTGAAAGACTTTAAAGTGGTTAAAAATGTTGACTTTAGTCCTTTTTTACAATAGTAAGCAGGAAACAGTTAAAAATAATTGTTTCTTCATTTTTACTTTTTATTCCTTTATCACTGCTAATCATTTACTCATAGTTGCTAACTTGAGCCTTTGCAAAAGGTTTGATGGTTAGAGTCATATACTTTATCAATACATATTGATTTAAACATTGGGTAGTTTAGCATGAGTTTATTCCCTATGCTTCATATTTTGTACTGTGTTTGAGGATGCTAAATGATTCAGCTTATGTGTGTGATGCTATGTAGATTAGTTAATAGTTATACTTTTTGTCCACTTCATGCTCAGCATTTAATAGAAATTTAAATGACAGTATACAAAAAGGGAATTTGAAGTTGTTTAACTAAATCCACCATTACATGTAATGGTAAGGAAAAAAAAATTAAAAACTTTTTTATATTTAAAAGCTAACTTATTAAAGAAAGCACAAATTATAATTAGTTATCTCAATGTTTCTAAACATTAAAAGGAGGTAGTGATTTTAGTCTTAGTGAAATCATAGTAAGATTTTAGACCTGGTGACTACCAGTGTCTTACAGCTTATTAGAAACTGGTTTCAAGCACTTAACACTAAGAATTTCCTCTATTCAGAGGCCTGACAGTTTTCTCCAAGGTAACTTTTATATATCTTGAATATTTTAGAAAGAAATTGTTTATAACATAGTAAGTTCAAAGCCTGTCCTCATTTCAAATGGATTTATTTTGAGAGGAAGAGCATAAGAACTATTTTATGTAATAAAACATGAAAGCATTAATTTCTATCTGTTTTGATGTGGTGCTTTCAAAGTAGACCAGCAGTTCTAATCATAGAGTAAAATGCTGTGACATACTTTTATTTAAAAATTTGGAAACTTTCAGTTTCTTAGAAATTCTGTCCATTGAACACTAGAATATTCTTTTGATTCACGTGTTATCCTAAAATTAAGTCTTGTCATTCTCTCTGACAACTTGTGTGCTTTTATGCTCCTGCCCATTCTGGATGGACTAGAAACTGTGTATTTTCCTGGTAGAGAATGATCTGAACTGATAAGAAAGCAATGCACAAGTGTTGACAGACAGTACAATGAATCCTAAAACTTTATAAACAGAAAGCACTCTTTGGTCTTTGAGTGCTTACTGAAGCCCCAAAGTAAAGCCCCGTTATAGGTTCACACGTTTCTTGAAGCTGCCCTTGCTCAAAAATACGTTCACCACCAGGCAATGCAGAAACATTTGCATTGTGCAGTTACACAAAAACAGTGTTTCAGTGTTAGCCTGGACCAGTAATAATTTTTGAAAATTAATAATGTGTGTTCCTTTTCACTTGCTGTCCTTGTCTTTTGCCTAGTGAGTTGAGAAGATCCGTTTGCTTTGTGAGATGGGTAGGTATCTCTGGTACCATTGGTTCTTGTACAAAGTCTGAAAACACAAAGAAACCATGCAACTTCTTTTCTTCTGTAGGTTGTTAGCATAGTCAAAGACTTTCTGTATGATTAAAAGCTTTCAAATCATCACTGAGATTTCTTGATGGATCAAACATTTCCAGTAATTTTTAGTAGTAGGCACATTTGAGTAGTGGGCCTATTATTGCCTACTACTGATTTTCTCTGTGAATGTAGATTAGGCAAGTCCAGACTAAAAGCAACCCAAAACCTGTGTAGAGAAGTTGAATCTTTGGCACCATTTCTCCTGTTAATTTGCTTGTGCTGCATGGCAATGCTTGCTAATTTAGAGGTAGTCGAAGATCGTTGGAAGAGGTGGAAAGGAGACCTGTTGTGGTAGGTTCTCTATTCACCGATTGTCCTTGAAGAGATGAAATTAAATGAGCATGACTTTAGCGTAGCCACAAGGAAGAGGAGTCATATGGCTGCTTTCCATGAATATATTGGGATTAAACGGTAGCATGGGAAGAGAGTTCTTTAAGTTCGAGAACCATGTTGAATAAACCATAACAGGAGTTGAAAGTTAGGAGATTGTTACCAAGTCAGAGGAGTGTGTGTCTGTAATAGCTTTTCTGTGGGTCCTATGAGAGCTAACAACCAAACTACTTCATAGTTGAAGCTTGACTGCTTTATGATAAGGTTGATAAGATGTGGTTGCCTGTGATAGTAGAGGCTATTCCAGTAAATCAAGAGGTTGCTTGTAAATTCATGTTTAACTTTACTTTTTTCCCTCACCTTTGGTGCATTGGTGAAGTTTTGTTCTGTGATTCACCCACCTCCCCATCATACTATGGTTTTGCAGCTTTCTTTTTGTAGGTCTAGCTTTTTTCTAATTTTGATTGCTGTGACACTTGCACCATCTGTTTCAGAGCAAGCTCGATCATAAAAATGGAATTTCAGGAACTTGCATGCAGTACCTCATCTGTTGATGGAGATGTTTCTTGTCTTCCTCAAGAACACCTAAGTTAAAATACTTCATTTATTTATATTTAAATAGGACCCTAATGAAACTAAAGTACTTTACTGATCTGCATAGTTAGTTTCTGTACAACTGTCTGAGCTTATGTAGCAGAAAAACAGTGTCTTTCCTTTTTAACAGTGCAGAGCTAAAGAACAGGAATGATTTTAATCATAGGTGCAGGGTGATAGATGCAAGAGACTGGGTTCCTGACTCCAAATGTTGCTGTAAAATCATACCACTATCTTTTGTCGTATAAAAACTTCAATTTTTTTAATGCAACTCTTTAGTTGTAGAATGCTGGGTTTTTAATTTGTACACAGTACATATTTTTACCATAATAATGGGGAAAATAAACTTTTTGTAAGAATTGCTCATCACAGTATTTTTGAACACTTTCATAGCTATTGCTTACATCTGCATAAGCAGATCATAGTAAGTACTTCCAGTTGTGCTTTCCATTACATAAATTAATGACATGACTGATGCTGCAGTATTATGGAGGGCTGTGCTCTCTGATGCTTACCAAATAGAAAATCTCCTTAGAGTTTTTAGTTGGACAACTTGAAGACAATGCATTATTTAAAAGTAAAGAACACAGAGTAACCTTTAGCTAAGCCGACACACAAAATTTTGAGGGAATGCTGTTATCTCTAAAGCTTCTCTCTCCTGTTACATCATTGGAGAGCCTTTTTCCATAAAATCTTACAATAACAGTAGTTTGGTCTGTGTGCTTTTGTTTATTTACTTAAGTGCATGTGTATACGTATTTGTGTGTGTTTATGCACACAAATTTATGTAAACATATAACTGTAAAAGGTAGCATTTTGTGAAAGTTGTTATACTGTATATTTTTTTATTGGTTTTATATTTTAGTATCCTAAAGAGGCCTAGAAATGTTAACAGGTACTGCGCCTGTAGCGAAGTGAGGTTTGTAAAGAGGAAGAATAGAAAAATTGTTTGCAAAGTATAAAAACTGCATAAACTGACTTCCTTGTGTTTTGGCTACTAATCAAGTCTCTATACTTACATGAGGGAGGGGAGAGACACTTATCTTTCCTGCAATCTACCCTGTAGTACTTCTGCTTTTCTAGACCAGCAAATACTAGTAGCACTGACATGTGTCCTATTTCCAGTGGTCTCAAGTGCTTTAAAGATAAGAAGTGATTAATCTTCATAACATTATAATGTAGCCACAATTATCTTAATTTTACATATGGAAAAACTGAAGGAGAAAGGTGTTGACTTAGCCAAGGTTACACTGAGAACTGTTACCCAATCCAGGATTAGATCCCCTCTGTTTTGACTTGGTAGCTACTGGTCTGTGTAGCAAACCATGATGACTGCAGTTGTCTTCTGGTATAGCTAGGAGAAGTCTGAGATTATATTGCTTGGATTAGTTTGAAAGAATTAGAAAACATAGAATGTTGATGTAGTTGATATTGTATTAGCCCTTACTGAAGTTCATAGGAGAAAAACTGTTCCTGTTGAACACGTACATATGAAGAAATCATCTCAGACACAACATACGTACCTGTCCTTGTGCTTTTGTTTAGATATGGGATGACTATGCCTTCTTGTCACAAGTGTGTATTAACATTTAACTTCAAATAATTAAATACATGTTTTTTGTTTGTCTCCTTCCAAAGCAAATTTGCTCCTTCATTTAGATAATTTTAAAGTGTGTATCCCTGTTAATGCTAATTAATAGCAGAACATAATGTTGATTTATTTTTTTAGTTGGTATCATAAAAAGAACATTCTTAATATGAGAACAGTGATGAATTGGAATTTGTTTGAGAGGATTTGTCATTTTTTGAACTGGAAGCGTAATGTGAGAAGGAATTAAAAAAAGGCTCTTATCAGTGGATGTAATTTTTAAGTTTTCATTAACATATTTTTAGTTAACATCCACATTTATGACTTTGCATAAGATGAGTATTTTCTGCAAATGAGAACAAAACTTGATGACTTCCCATCTTGTTAATTCTATCATGGAGCTTGTTAATAGCGTTACCTTAGCATCTGTTCACTTTTGAAGTTCTGATTGTGATCTTGCACTTTTTCAAAATCTCAGCAGGCATTTTTTTCAATTCAGTGTTCAAAGTTTGTTAATATACGTCTCCAGTTTCTATATCTTTAGTTGTCTCTGAACTATTTTTTTCATATTTAAAACCCACTCCCTTAGAAAATACATACTAAAATTGATTTTCATAGAGACATTTCTTCTAAATCCCTGCCACTAATGAGCGCTGTCATCAGAATGAATTCAGCAGCATGTCATTGTAAAGATTAAACTGCAGGAGCAGTTACAATAATGAATAGATTACAGATCAGTGGACACCATTAAAAATGGGGATATGATAGGGTGCATCTTTCTTGAAGATTAAATCCTACTTTCAAAATCTTGGTTTTCAAAGTGTAAATACTGTCAGAGAAAAAAACAGCAAAAAGAAAGTCTTGCTTGTTTGTTGCTTGGTTGCTTAAAATACCATATGTTTGAAGGATTTCTTTAGGTGTCCATTGGGTTTCTTGACTTTTGAATTTATTTTAAACCCAAACACTTCAATATGTTTCTTTTTCTGCTTTTGTGACTGCAGTTTTAAATAGAAAATCTTCCATGTTGCAGGCAATGCTCAGAGTGTGACCAGGCAGGTAGCAGTGACATGGAGGCTGATATCGCCATGGAAACCTTACCAGATGGGACCAAACGATCAAGGAGACAGATTAAGGAACCAGTGAAATTTGTTCCTCAGGATGTGCCACCAGAACCGAAGAAAATTCCAATCAGAAACACGGTAAATGGTGGTTGAGTTCTTGTTATGCAGCTCATATTCATAATCATTTTGTTTAAGAAGACACGTTTTGGACATTTTGAATTGCGGGATTTCAGTTTGATTGATGTTCTATTTTTGTTATAAATTCCCTTTCCTCTGTTTAATGCTTTATTACTTGTGTTAAATATATATATTTTTGCTACAGTAAAAAGCTGGGAAACACAGTACTGAACTGAGGAGCTTTTCCTTTTACCTGGGTCACGAAGTCCTCTGTTAATTGCAGAAAAAGGAAAAACTCAGTTTGCGGTTAAGCTTAGCCTTTACAGCTGTTCTTCATCTTAGTGTTAAGGACACTTTGTTTTTGTATGCTAAGATTTAAATGCATTGAATTGCCAATTGCAACTGTAAAGTAATTAGTCATTTCCTTATGTACAGGCAACCTACTGACTGTACATTTTGTGACTATCACAAGACCCTGTTATTTCAGTTTGTTTAGCTTCCTAGTCTTAGTAGTCATTGTGTGATTTCTCAGACTTTCCTGGTGTATAGTTTTTAAAGAAGAGAAACAAAAGCTCTTGCTTCATGTACTGATGAAATATTTAGCATCTTTCTTTCATTTGAAAGTAGAACTTTTTTATTAATCACTGTATTCCATTGTGTTTCTCTAGTGCTCTAATCTTTAAACTCTTGCTCTCCTACTTGCTCATAAAACAAGGTTATTCGTGTGTGATGTGTCACATCACCTATAAAAGGTGCATAAAAGTATCAAAGGGCTTTTAGGTCCAGTTTAGGGAATCAGTAGTGTTCCCATGACCCTTTGGATATGAGTAGTAATTACATATAAACTGGTGGTTCATTGTCCAATATACTTCTTAGTATTAGGAAATACTTAAACCCTCTCATGTTAAGGTTAGACATACTTGATCTCTCATGCAGCCCAACTTTTTTTTCCTCACAGGGCTTCCCAGACTTTTTATGCTTGTACTAGCAGATACCATACTTAATTCTTCTCAGTATACACTGATAGGATTAAACAAGTGTTTTCCTGATCTAACCTTAAATGTTTGCTTTAATTACATTTTGAAATATTTGGAATATTTGGGCAGCAGCTTTGACTTACCTAATGGCTTCCCTTTCCTGGTCTATGACTAAGAAGAACTTCAAGAATGACTCAAGCCAAAATGATTAATTTAGCTCCAACTGTTAAGAGTGTGAGTAATCCAAAATTAAATTTTATGAATAATTGAGAACTTCTGTAGGGGAGAAACTTTTTTTTTCTTTTTGTTATTGAGGGAAAGTTCCCTTCTTCCCTATGTGTAAGAACATTCTGACAGCTGTCTGGTTAAGTTGAACTGACTGTTGTCATGCTGTTTTTCACACAGAAAGAAGACTTATCTGGTGTTCCTGCTTACTGAACCCTTTGCACCTCCTCTCACCTTTTTCTCCTTCCTTTCTCTTCCCTCTTTCTACACCTAATATAGTGGTATTAGGGGGTGGGGAATCATGATTATGGCACTAAAGAGAACTGAAAGTATTGCAGGAAAGACATTTGTAGTAGTAATAGACAAAAAAGTCATACAGGGCATTGTACAGAAATCCATAGGAAGACAAGATTGTTTTGTTCTAATGCCCATGTAATAACTGCCCAGCTCCTTCTATGCTAAATGGAGAGAAGTCTGATTGCTCTGAAGTGTTGCCCTCATGCTGTGACACTGATGTGCTACACTGGTGCTACATTGGTGATTTGGCACCTCACGTGTTAGAGAGTATGTCTACACACCTTGTGGTATGTAATATAGAGATTAAATTTACTTTGACTGGACTAGTATGTTGGCACGGTACAGAATTTTACTGTGGAAGAATTACTGCTACCAGTCTAAGAAAGACTTTGTTCCGCTGCTTGAATTTTTAGGCTCTCTTTCAGTTCTCTCCAGTTCTCTGCTTTCCTACAACATACAGATTTGCAAGATAACATCTTTCTGTCCTGTGGGCAGGGCTCGTCTGTCAAAGTTATCTCCACTCTTTTAGCTGTCCCGTAGCTGACAGGTTTGGTTTGGTTTTTTTGGTTTTTGGGTTTTTTTTTTTATTTTACTTATTTCCTACTGTCTTCTACTTAACTATGGAAGAGAAGGTTCACACCCTGGACACCTGCTGGATTTCTTTCTCTGAACTAGGCTGAATTCCTTCGTTTCAACTCTTTCTTGGTGCACTTAGGCTGTATAACAAAATCAAGATAACAGACCTCTGAAGACTTAATAGATGCTTCCTGGCAGTATGGGATTCCCATTCACCTTTGCTATGAACCTAGTAAAGTTGGTGTTAGTTTTTGTTGCTTGTTTGTTTTGTTTTGTTTTTTTAGGAAAAGAATACTTTTTAATTCATTAGGCCTGGGGCTGTCTGTGTATTTGAGGGGAAAAAAACGTGACCTTTGAACAGTTTCTCGTATGAAGTTTACTTGAGTCTGACTACACAGACAGCATCTGTGTGGTGCATTTCAACAACGATGACCAGATACTTGTTCTGTCCTTTGTGTACTTGCTTTTCAAATCCTTTAAAATAGTTCAAAATAAGGAAGAAAAAATTAACAATTTGAAAATATACTTACTTCACAGTCCTCTCTTCTCAGTGTACTTTGTATCTCTGGCTGTGTTTTATTCAGTCTAGTTTTATTTTGGAAGGAATTGGCAAGCCTGCTTAGCTAACAGTGTGTAATCAGCCTTGCTTACAGTTATAATCAACAAGTGCAATTATAAGACTGTTGGATTGTGTATCTGTTGCTGTTAAGGGAATTTCCATTTGTTTTGCATAAATTTATCTTGAATTGATATAATTGAAAGAAGTGTTTTGTTTTTTTGTTTTTTTTTTTTTTTACCACATACCTAAGAGAACAGAATGCATCTTACATGTTTGGATTTCATTTTGGTGGTTTATCATAGTTAACTCTTCATTACTTCGCTGACAGAAATTGTGAGTTAGCCCTAATATTTTATTTTCACAGAGTTGCATTAGGTGTTACTGATGACAATAATAGTTGGTATCTGTAAGACATTTTATAAAAATGCATATGATTAACTAAGCCTATGTTAATTATATGACAAAAAAAATTCATGTTAAATTGTACTTTCAGAATTGATATTTTGTGATCAGCTTGTCCTACAGCTTCTATTTGGTAAATTGATTTCAGAGATGATAAAGGATACCCCCTTTCACCAAAAATTGCTTTTTTCCTTATTCGTAGTATTTTTTTCTGATTTCTCTCTGCGTGGGTTGTGCTGTGAAGAGTAAAAGACCCTTTTAGGAGTATTCATAATTTTACCATTGTTTCTCATCCAATCTAATTATGGATGTGCACTCCTGCAAAAAAAATTTTTTTTTTTTTTAATCCTTCAAAGCACCTGAATTCATTGATGTTGTGAATTTTCTTTTTCAGGGCTAAATTGTTTTTTAAAGAAAATAGTGGTGGGGTTTTCCTGCTTTAAATGTAACCTTACAATTTCCTTTTGTTTTACATTATTGCAAAAAATAATAAGGACATGTAATTTTACCTTCTGCAACCTGTACTGTTTCTCCTTCTTTTCCTTTATGAACTTAACAGTTCTTTTCAGGTTTTTCTTGTCTTAAGTCTCTTAAGTTCTTAGCCTTACATCTATGTTAAGATACTCTTAGCAGAGATTCTCTGCCTTATTTTGAATGGTCTAAGTAGATTAGTTTTAAAAAAAAATAATAATAATATGGAAAAAAATACTGACAAAGCACCTACAAACTGTTTTTAGCACAGGGAGTTGCTGTGCATAATGCTTTTGTTTTACAAATAAATACTGTTTATGAGAATAAGTTATTTCTTGCTTTTGTTTTGAATAGGAAAAGATAGTAGAGGAGTGATTATTTTTTTTCTTACCAAGTATGCTAAAAGATAAACAGGACTGTTATCTTGTATTTAACTGAAGCATTTCCACTGAAGTGCTTTCCAAACATCTATTGTGTAACTTAATTATGTGATGTCATAGATACAAGTTTGAATTAAAGATGGCTACAGGAGGAAAACAGAACATCAATTCCAATTTGAGTGTAAGTATCAGTGCTTCATAAAAACAGCAAATAATTTTAAGACACTTATCTGTATCTGTCAGTCAGGATTTTAATTAACATTGTCAATGGTTGGTCAACCATTTAAATATGACTTCTAAATAAGTAGCTGGAAGACCTCTTAAAGCAACTGTCTAATAGTAGTGATTTTGACATATTCAACTTAAAAGAAATTGCTGTTAACTGAACATTAATGCTCTAGAACAAAATACTCAGGAGGTACTCAGCTTTCTGAAAATTAAGGTTTTTCAACACTGAATGTAAAAGCTCAAATGAGTCTATGACATGTCAATACGAACATATAAAAGCTAGATCAATCAGCCTGCCAAATACATGGATACATGATAGTATAGGACTCTCTCTTTTGGCTTGACATGAAATTTGGAAAAGAAGAAAGTAAGATAAATTGATGCAGCTCTACCACAATGCTTGAAGCAAATGGAGTATGTCAGAGTTTTGCATTTGTTTGGGGTTTTTTTGTTTGTTTGTTTGGGGTTTGGGGGTTCTTCTGTTTGTTTGGTTGGTTTGCTTTTTAAGAACGCGGAGGAAAAAAACCCACAGATGAAAGATCACTTCTTTTTGATGTAGCAGAGGCATGAAGAGATGGACATATTCCAAATGGTATTCCAATGGTGTAAATATCAGTATCTCAGTAAGTAAAGGTAACTAGTATATCTGTCACTTCTGCAAATAAATGCATTTAAATTCAGTTTTCCAGAAGAGAATCACTTGTCTTAGCAACATCTGCAAACTAACTTTTTCTGACCTTTTTGCCCTCCCACTTCTGTTTCGATTCTCCAAACGTGTGTGCTTTGGAGAATGTTAGTGTTAAAAAGGATGTAAAGCAACCCTGCTAGTTCTCAAATTCTGTTATATGTTTAAGTCTTAAAAACAATAGTTTCAAGTTAATTCCCAGATTCAGTGATAGTTTAGCT